ACATAATAAAGGTGAATCAAATAATAAACTTTTTCTATATGCTTTGGTCAGGTTAGGTTAGGTTAGTGGCAATTGAGTTTGCCTATAATTGAGACATTATGTGTTTTTAACAAAGAATTGATAAATGATAGTAAATGGTATAAATCACTACCTTTTCTTTGATTTCAATGTCCATACAACCTAACCGGATCTACAGTCGTGAAGTTTTACACTGCAATACCAAAATTAAAACATTAGGCAACTCAGCGGTCGGATGGTGGAATTAAATTTCATATTAGGTTAGCAAAATTAGCCCCGCTCTCCCGTACCAACGAAATTGTTAATTTCAATTTATAGTGCTCATTAAATACACCTTCACTGTGCCAATGAGTCATGCCAATTGAATTTCATGATATAAATTTAATAAACCCTGCTTTATAATAGTTAATAATCTAGCTTTCGTCTGCGATTGCTTCGCGTAGAAATTGGGACAGGATTGAACTAAATATCTACGAGTTTGATTCTTTAGTGCAATTTTCGATACACATTGTCTACCTTGTACGAACGCTTTTATTAATTTCTTACCAAGAGATCAATTGCCTTTTTAATATCGTTTAGTTTTTGATTCCCTGTGAAGTATAATTTAAAAAAGTATTATAACGTGTCATCGTGATTTATCGATTTCTCAATTCTGATATTTTGCAATTTTAAAAGTGTTTAAGTTATAAAAACAGAATTATAAAAAAACACCAGAAGAACCCATTTTGACATTCATTATTGGGCCTTTTAGGACAAATAATGAATGTTATAAGGAAGCTCCTTACTAAAGTAACGACGAACTCGAGATTTCTCAGCTTGTGAGGATTTAAAAGCTTTCCTCTTCAAACTAAAGGATGTAAACCACGCAAGGTAGTCTCGTATGTTCGGAAAGTTTCCGCCTCCTACGTGTCTATAAAGTGTCCGATGCAAGCTCCTCTAACGCGATATTAAAAGTTCAGCACTTTGAGCGTGTTTGCGCTACTTATTTAAAGGAATTTCACAAAGTTGAGCGTAACTTGGATCGACTTTGGGACCTCACGTCGGACATGCACGATTCTTTATTGAGAATTTATTGTTTGTGTACATTTTGGAATGTTCTTGAACGTTCGAATAGTTTAGCTCCTCTGAATAATATCAGCATACCGATGGCGATCGTACAATGCCTCAATATAAACGTCAGCATATTTTGCTTATATGAATGAATAATAAAACCATACGCAATATGCAGTATGTGTTTACAGATAATACCACCAAACTGTGTGTGTAAAATGTGAATGTGACTACCTGACACTTTAATTCCTATGACATGTTAACAAAAGATTCAATAATACATACTTCTAATTAGATCACATACGACTTTACTCATTTACTATGTCATTTAAGCATAAAACTAAAAAAAGCCTGTCAACGCATCTGGAACCCTCGGGTGTAGCAGATGTCCATGGGCGGCGGTATTCACTTAACATCAGGTGAACCTTCTGCTCGCTTGGCATCTTTAACATAAAACAAAACTTCATTATACATTTTATAATATCATTTAGTAATGTGCTATATTTTTATTCCACTGTACTCGAAATCAAATTTAAGTACTGATTTTTTAATAATACATTGAAATTTTAATTGCTGATTTAACACGACTTCGGAGTTAAGGGAAAAAAAGGCATATGCCAAGTTATGTCAAGTTATGTATAAGTCTGTTTAGCCTTTTCCTTATAACTAGAAACCTTCGATGTTGATTTGAATTGGGGCTGATAAAAAAGCGGAATTGTATCGAAACCTTCCTTTAGTCGTGTGCCAATTGCTATTACAATTTATACAATTATCTTGAAAATAATCTCAAAACTGCGATTTAGCGCTTTTTGCTGTATCAATTAGCGTCATCTTTCGGTACAAAAATAAATATTTCTAAGGCTCTTCATACCTACCATGCTACCAAACGTTATAGGGCTATTTGTGTTTACAATTTTTAAAACCCTCTGTACAATAGAGGCTCTATCTAGCAAATGGACATAAATAAACAGTTACTTTATCTCACAAAACAACTTTTCTAAGTTCCTATTTACCGCGCACGCAACGCTTTTCTTCGTAGTAATAAATTATTCTGTCTGACTTCCGAAAGCTTCCTTATCCACAAACGTGTAAGTTCTTACTAAGTTTGAGTAATGCATTTTTTTATTGCCCTTACTTTATGATGACATTATCCTGTGTTGTAAGGACGTTTTACAAACATAAATTTCACGAGGACAATCACCCCGATCCGAAATAACTATTTGTGGATCGCATAAATCGTTGTCCCGTGTGGGAATCGAACCCACGACCGCCGACGCCGAAGCCAATACCTTGGCAACTGTGCCACGGAGTCATCAAAATATGTAGGTACATATTTATAAATTATTAAACCTATTATCTCTATTAATAAACAGTTTGTACAGGAATTTGGCCATTTTTTTATATGGAAGTGACTAGCGCTTGACTACCATGCCACCTGATGGTAAGTGGCGATGCAGCCGTGGATGGTAAGCGCGCTAGCTTAGTAAAAGCCTATTCACTCTTGCCTTGTAGACGCCTACGCCATTTCGTCGATATTACGTCTTCCCCCTATAAGTTTATTTAACTGAGTGACACAGTGTACAAAACAATTACTGTCGCCTTTCCTAATTATACCGGACTGTTGTAACAACTCTCAGGCAGGCGACTGCACACGACGTTCTGGGCTAAGGGTAAAATTCAATTAAGGCGAGTTCACATTTTCATAATTCTGGGCTGAATTTCGATGACGCTGTACACTCGCCGCTGGAAATGCCGAGTTCCCACAAGGAAATTTTAAACCAACGCTAGATGTTTTAAGCCGCTTGGAGGAGACTGGAAAAGACTTAAGAGAATAATTTAAAATATCGGTCAAGTGCTAACATTGCTCGAGCTCTAAGAGTTCTGTACAAATTTAATAATGAGATTACTGACAAATTAAATAATTATTACTGAGAAATTAAATATTCCTGACAAATTAAATAATGAGATTAATAATTAATTTAATAATAATAAGACTTCCTTAATAACTTCAATAATGGGTTAATCCCATTCAGCCTCTCCGCACATCTGAGGCCACTGGGACTCCGGGATGGATCGCTCTAAGCTCAAATGCAGAAAGCGGTGCTCTTCGATACAGCCCGTATCGTCCGCCGGTTTCTCTCCCTTTCGCCCTAACCCTCGGCCGTTTGGTCACCCCTGCCGAGAGGTTCCGTTTGGTTGGGTCCTATTTATTTGTGTATTATATATAATATTTATATCTATATGTTTATTTTTTATTTATAAACCCAAAAAACGAGAAAACAAATGAATATCCCACCATAATTAGACTTCAAACTCTCACGTACCTATGTGATATGCACATCAATGTTAAAAACTATTTTATTGCAGTAATTAAATAAAGTAACAATAACAAAATTACATTGTTACTTTGTTCCATTACTACACTCTTAAAGACAAACATTTCACCAAATGTCATCGACGATGGCAGGTGTCAGACGACAAGTTTTTAAAATAAATTTTAATTTGAGACCTCCAAAGAATTATGTACTTAGGTAAACCCTAATATATAAAAAAAAATCACTATCTTTACCGTTTCTTTTAGATAACCCTCAGAGAAACATGACAGTAGTTTTATAACCTCCAATCTATTCATTCTTAAATCTGTGACTATCTGATAAGTAGGCAGAGATACCACTAGCAGCTCTAAGCTCTAAATCCTATCTCTAGTGCTGTCGTAACTTCATGATTATTATTTTAGTCTGTCAGTCAGTCCACTGCTGGACATAGGGCAGTACTGGATATACACTGCCACGAAACACGATTCTGAGCCACCTGTATTGATTGGTTCCCTTTGGTTTCGAAGTAAATTATGACATGATATATAAACGGTGGTAAGGTCACGCAGCAGCCTCGGCTGTTACACGAATGGGCAGGCTCGTGCGAGTAAGTACCACAACCTCACATAAGACCGGCGTAAACTGGAAGTATGATACTTTCGCGTTTGGTCTGGTGAGTGAGGTAGCCGGAGCCCAATTTTCAAAAGGTTGTCAACGCTTCTGGAACTCTCGGGTGTAGCGGATGTCCATGGGCGGCGGTATTCACTTAATATCGGGTGAACCGAAATATCTAAATGTCAATTAAAACGAGCGTTTACAGCTAAATTCATCGGACTAATGTATATGAGTAGACTTTAAAAAAAGCCATCATTGATTTTAAATCAAACACTCAAGTTAGCCATGTTTAGTTGAAAAGAAAAATTAAATAAATTACAGCAAATTATATAAAAAATAATCACAAATTTACAACATTTTCATAGCACAGTTATAGGGTATTGAACGTCAGTATCAATTTTAAACGTTAAGTATCAGTTTTTTTAATCTATTGTATTTTTATTATATTTTTATTATCTATTGTATTTATTATATTTTTTTAGTCTATTGGTTGGGGTAGCTAACATTTTTTATCACATCCAGTGGGCTGTATAGAAATGAGTCAGCTTTCATTCCCGAGATTTGCGAAGTCTTACGATATGCCGAGTACATTTGAAGTCCCGTACCAAAGTTAAGCTCAAAACCCCTCTGTGCGTGTAACTGACTTTCAGGATGCTGTAATTCAGTTGATAAGTTAAATTTACGTATTTCTATTGTGTAACAACACCGTGTAAAGTCCCCTCATCAACTTCGCTCATTCTCCAAATCTGAGGATTAATAAACTACTTTCCCATTTGTTTTACATAATATTAAAAAAATACAATCTATGGTGGTTTTTAACATCGATGTTTTCGACAACGATTATTGATCGATATTGTTAACAACGATTGTTTAAAATCGATGTTGTATATTCCAGTTTATCTGCACAGTAAAAAAAATACTCAATGTACAGAGTTAAAGTATAACGTAAAAAGAGCTCTTGAAAAACTGAAATTAATTAAAAATTTAATGTTCTGTTTCTAGGTAACGAGTAATGAAGTGACTTTTCATTTAGTTTTGCAGTTTCAATGTTACATTATTATTAAATGAACTTATTATAATTATTCGTTTACCATTAAAGTACTTTTTTACCGTATTCCATTTTACCATATTAAATTAACTTAAAACGGTAAGCAAAACAAGTTTTTAGCAATGTACATATTTCATTCCAAAAAATATTATACATTTTACAAATGTAATATATCTGTGGTAGAGTCATATTGTAACGATGTTTTATTTAATTTAGTGCAAGACCTTTTCGCTGCATCTGAAAGCACTGGCAGGCAATATTTGATATCAAAATACCTCATAGATTTGTTTACCTTTTGAATTTCAATATTCCTTACATCAGGATGTCATCTGTTATTCAGGTAACTTAAATGTAGGGCAAGTAATCGGTTGGTTGTCCATTATAGCAATTTAGACTTTATCTCTTGAATTATCTTTATATATATATATAATTCTTCTGCACGGGTGTATGTCACTGAAATCCTCCTAAACGGCTGGACCGATTTTAATGAAATTCTTTGTGTGTGTTCAAGTGGATTGGAGAATGGAATTGTGAATCTAAACAAAGTTATTCAAAAAAAATTTAAATTTCCGAATTTAAAACGTGTATACAGGACAATGTCTGTCTGGTCGGCTAGTCATAATATAAAAATAAACTTATACTATTATAATGCAAAAATTTAAATATTTAGCAAAAATAACGGAATTGTACATAATTGGCAAATCTCCATTGTCAAAAAGGAGGCGCAGTCTCATAATCTCTGCGTTATTTACAAAACATTCATCAACCTTTGAACTAAGCAACCATCACTGCTGCCACAGCCAGCTGAAAGAGCATCAAATCCCTTGCAATTTAACAGCATCTGCTTTTGCTTAAAATTTTCAAACGGCCTAAAAAGACTACTACTAGTCTTTCTTCTGACTTCTTCACGTTATTATATTTCGTGCGGTGATTGACATAAGCGTTTGGCTTCAGCACAGGGGGGGTTTTGGGTTCGATTCCCACACGGCGCAAGGGTTCGTGTGACTCACAGGTTCAAGACCTGGGTATTTGTTCAAAAGGGGTGATGACGGGAGTCAGGCGGCCGAAAAACCTAGCCTAGTTGACTACTAGGTATATCAGAAGTAACATCGGTTCATACCGTTAGGATTCTACTGCACAAAATTCGTGTTTATTCGTTCATTATTATACACGTCGTTTGAATGTTCAACGAAACTTAACTGATTCTTTTGTGGGGTTTGATTTGTAATTTTACGAAAATATTCTGTTTTGAGCTCGTCTACTGGTGTACTGTATATAAGTATACACTTCAAAATCAAACCTTCTCCAATAAACCTATTTTAAATATATTGTCTAGCGTCGAAAAAAAAAAGAAATTCTTTTTCGCATATCTGGTCCGAGATATTAAAAAATTAATTGCATATTATAAGAAACTAGCTGCTGCCCGTGACTACGTCTGCTAGAATAGGCTGAAGGCGTAAAATTCAGACAGAAAGACAGATGTACATAAAAATGTGTACATAAATTATAGTCTATGTGTTATTCTGATATATAAGCTATATTATTGTAAAGTTTCATTAGAATCCGTTCAGTAGTAGTTCCCTGAAAGAGTGACAAACATCCATCCATAAATACAAACTTTCGCGTTTATAATTTTATAAAGGATTATTTGATATATAAAACTGACACATAAAAAATATTATAGCAGTAGTTAAATTTGAAAAAGAGATAATTCGTTTGATTTCCGGATGCTTAGGATTTCTGATATAGGAATTTAAATACAACCGCTTTTTTGTAATATTAATTACGTGTATAGACAACAATTAATACATGCTATTCGATGAACGTCTAAGTTTTAACTTACCTGAGGTAAGGCCACGCGAAAGCCTCAGTTGTACTCGTGGTAGGGCTGCAAATCAGCGTCTGTTGTTGCACGAATGAACAGGTTCGTCCATGATAGCATCATGACCTCACCGAAGACCGGTGTAAAGCGTCTGACTTTGACTTTGAATCGCTTTACATCCGTCGGACCACCTGCTTACCATAGACCCGCATAATTAATGTCGTATTTCAACTTGAAGTTCAGGCAGTAACAGTGTAGTAGGGGATTTTGGGTATATTTTATGAAATTATGATACTTTTATCTCGACATTTTGAGAAAAAAGTACAGTTAGCAAAAATGCTATATAACACGTGTCTGTTAGTGAAATAAGAAGGAAATATGTAACTAACTTTTGTACTTACTGAAAAATGTATCTTATAGCATGCCGAGGGTCTGGAAAAATTTGTGTAAAATTGAGTGATTACAAGTTTCGTAATACAATGGCATGAGATCATAAATCTAAAACTTTATATCAAAATTCAAGTCAAAATGTCTTAATATAATTACGTACTTTTTCATTAATTTTCATCATTACATTAAATTGGATACAGATAACAAAGCAGACAGAAGAGCAGAGAAATGAGCTTGAAGGCCTAAATTTTATAAACACTGTTACTGTGGTAGGGTGAAGCAACAGTGTTGCAACAGTGCTGTTGCAGGAAAGGGCAGGTCCATCCTCCCCGGAAGTACCACGACCTCACAGAAGACTGACGTAAAGTGGAAGTGTTATACCTCTGCGTTTCATCTGTTGAGTGTGGTAGCCGGGGTAATGAGTAAAGTTGGCAACCCTACGTGTTACAAATATCACTTAACATCAGGCAAAGGACCAGCTCGCTTTCCACCTTAAAGCAAAGTAAACTAGGGCTGGCATTGATGCTGCGTGCCCAACGCTTCCGGTATGTAATTTGCATAATACTCGTCTGAATATTAATGAGGCATCGCAGATCTTAGCTTCCACTACGGTGCTCTAAAGGTATAGAGGTTTGAATTGAAAATTGACTTCTGCAACGAACTGAGTTTGCGACGAACTTATATAATGTAAGGCTCTAGTACGGAAAGCTTTTTAATATTATTTTTCAGGCAATTTCAGATATAATGAATGACTAACTCTGTTAACCATATTCGATTTAGTTTTGAGAGACTACTAGCAACCCATCTCGGCTTCGCACGGGTGCAATTTATTATACATATAAACCTTCCTCTTGAATCACTCTATCTAGTAAAAAAAAGATCCGCATCAAGATCCGTTGCGTACTTTTAAAGATATAAGCATAAATAGGTACAGACATACAGCGGGATGACTTTGTTTTATACTATGTAGTCATGTCAAAGGCAACCCAGAGGAAACCTTTCTTGCAAAATCTGTGGGTGACCATTTATACACTTGTCAGATTACGTCCATTTAGCAATGTTTTTTTTTTTATATTAAACTAAACAATTCAGGACTAATTCCGTAACAACCGGTAAATCAACTAATGATATTCATTGGAACGATTTGTTACTCGGCTGCCCGAAAATAGAGTAACAAACGGCACAACGCTAACTAATTCCTATTTAAATTTCAATTAATCGGTAAATTTCCAACAGACTAATCGTATTGTTTCGCTATTTAAGCTGAAATCATTAATCAAATGAAATAATTAATTGTTAGCTGGCATTAAATATGCTTTTCTTCATCATAAATCGGAGCAGTATACTTCTGAAGACAACGTGAACTGCCACTATACTTTTTAATTTTTTTTTATATGAGACGGTGGCAGCGAGCTGGTGGTTCACCTGATGTTAAGTAATAAGTGATAAGTGCCACCCATGGATATTTGCAACACCCGTAAGACTAGAGATGCGTTGCTACCCTTTAATATTACCCTTTAATATAAATTCGGCTCAGGCGACCTCACTCACCAGACCAAACGCAGAAGTATAACAACAATTCCACTTCGGACGGACCTGCCCATTCGTGCAACAGCCGACGCTGTTGCGTGACCCGCCACATTTAATTTGAAATCCAATCCATAGAAAGAAATACATGCCTATATTATCCAAACGTTATTTACTATATCATCACTACATAGTATAAAACAATCGTCCCCTGTCGTCTGTCCTTAGGTGTGCTTAGATTTTTAAACTACGCAACGGATCTTTATGCGGTTTTTTACTAGATAGTACGATTCAAGAGGAAGATTTATATGTGTAATACATTAAATATGTATAATACCGGGGCGGGTCGGTCAGTCTATCGGTATAGTACTATGTACAATAAACTCGTAGACCATTTTAATTTGCGTGTTCATACATTATCGTCGCTAAAAATACTAGCAGTTCAACACTCAATTTCTGTTGAAAAGCCTGTTGCGAAATGATATAAGGTGGCAAGCTATGTTAAGTTGTTCGCGAGAACCGCACTATAAAATTGGTCCTTAAAGCCATCCTGATAAATTACGAACGCTACGTCACGTACAAAACAACTTTATTAGAAAGTACAATCCTCCTTCGCTCTTCTCTCGTCTAACGCGATTAGGCGATAACAATGTGTGGGAATATCTTTCATTATACGCGTTATTACCTCCGTTATATGAAAACCTTTATTTTCCTCTGCGTACTAGATAGTTTATCACAGCTTAATATGAAGGAACAAGTCTTAGAAACTCTTAGTTTTTCGCTTTTTTTTCTTAGCGAAACGTCAACCAAACTTTAATTCATTTCGCTTAACCAATGTTGAACCGTTGTTACGTTCATAACGTCGTTTCTTTAGCTTTTACTATTATGCTTCTGACCTTTAGTGCCTTCAGTTTGAGTAACAGGCGATTAAAAAACTTTACAGATCGCTATGAACACTACTTATTCTATTGTAACGTTTAGTATCCTTTTATATAATGTAATTATTATTTTTCCATAATAACTTTTGTATTTTTTCACATTCCAGTCACAAATTGTCGACTTTCAATTAAATTTGCAAACGACTGGTCGTCAATTCATTCAATTCAAAACTTTTTTTAGTGCAACAAAATTGCTTAAGTAAAAATTAGAAAGAGATAATAAAATCTATCCCTACTCGTACTAGGGCTCATGTAAAAAAATTCACAGATAAATTTACTTCCTGC